ATGCTCGCGTTTACTAGACTGTCATAATAATAAGGCTTTTTTCTTGTTTCAAAGTCGTCAGTTTAAAATTTTTTAAAACTCAAGTAGATTTTCATATTTATATTTAGCAAGCAGTCAATGCATTATTGATATTGCTAATTAGCATGTATAATAATAAATAAATTTTATAAATATTATAACGAATAATTTTTTTTACCTATTTGCTGTAGTGTGCAAAAATAAGCACCCGATGAGCCGGTCGCAGTTATGTTTACTGGAATAATTTTGTAGAAACATAAACATTATCTTTATGCTTTACACATAAAATCTTTGCCAATGGTTATATCCAGCCAGGAATGTATGCTTAATATTAACGTTAACTTTTTTTAGATAGTGACATTTAATACTTAATATCTAAATTGTAGATAATCAATAAAATTTTTTTATTCTAGCTGAAATTATGATGTATTACTGTTGGCTTTTTTGTCACATCACCATGTGTTTATCTGAACAGGCAATTAAAAGTTGCGTTTATTCGGTCAATACTTATTGACAGGCTCTTGTATATTCTCCAAACAGTTTAACAGCTTTGTTATCGTATGGAATGCTAAAAATTTGAGACCAAGTAACGTTATCGTCTTTTTTACATTATTTCAAAAAAATTATATTGTGTACAATAATAATAATTGTCGCGGCTGATGCTGATAATGTCAACTTTGACACATTGCTTGGGACTTGGCAGCCGTAAGTTAAAATTGCGATCAATATTAATCTAAGTCTACACGAAAAAAGTTTATACTCTTGAGCTCTCGGAACACACAACACAAGACTTACTCCAAAATGGACTGCTATTGCTAAATGATTAATAAAACGTATTTGGAATATGTATCTTTATTTTTGGGTAGATAATTTTGTAAGTAGTAGTTTATTGTTGGCGAAAAAGGCATGATGTACGTTGTTGCTGTTCGTTATCGTTATCACATTGATTCGTTGATAGACTGAATGAAAACTATGACGTAATGGTAATATACAGTAAAATCAAATAATATCCAAATATCATATGTCTATTAATGTCTAACAATAGCAATAGTTACACTAAAACTTTTATTATGCGGTAAAGAAAATACCACAAGTGTTTGAATTGTAATTATGGATTCTTAGTCAAGTATATTCTTTCTCTTTGCCTATCGACCAGAATATTGTTTATCTCAACAGCTGATACCGCAAATATAACATTTCACAAAGCTATCAACCAAAAAAGTCGGCTTATCTGATTGAGTAAATTTAGTGCTTATATTTTGCGCGCATGTAATTGCTGAATAAACGGGCTACCTCCTTTATAGTCGTCAAAACGCGATACTCAATAATATAACCGCTGCTGTCAAAGTCTTTGTTGAAAGATTCATTCATGGTTCGGTAAAATGTATAACAAGTTACAATAAATGTGTGATTAGCACGATAAGGGTCAAGTTGTTAGTTTATTAGTATAATCCAGCAATGAACAACTTGGTTCAAACCTCCTTAGAAAGTGAAAATAAAGACTTAAAACTTGAATAAATTTCCTCGTGTTACGGCAAGCGGATCTGCTGAAGCAGAAAAGTGAGTCACATGATAAAATCTTCCTTCGCAATCCCCCGCAGTCCCCCGCAGTCGTCATATGGTCGATTTAATAAAATAGTCATACTAGATTCGCTAATTAGAAAATAATTTTGATGTTTCAAAAATTGGCGACGGTGACGACAGTACAAAAAGTCAATTAGGAAATAATTTTGATGTTTCAAAAATTGGCGACGGGATCAGATAGTACAAAAGACTAATTAGGAAAAAATTAGTGTTTCAAAAATTGGCGACGGTGATGGCGGCGATAGAAAAAATATATAAGCGACTCTATTCCATCGTTCACCTTCATGTTGTGTATGTTGTGCGTTGTTTGCTTGTTCTTAATAACTCACGGAAATAAATAATTGTTCCCTTTAAATTTTGAATCCTGTATATTTTATTTCTTCCTATCGTTATCTTCGCTTGAATTTTTGACTAATTAATCCGGACAATACCTACATAGCCCTTAGACAAAAAGGCAAGTAGTCAGAGCCCATTCAGGCTTGCGAAACTATCCGTTGAGCGAGTACGTAATAACGGAAAGCGAGTTTAGTTAATTTGTAGCGCGTCGATAATAGATTTTAACTGTTAATTAGTTTAGGAAACAAGTGACGGATAAACCGACTAGTCAATACACCAGATCGGAGACCGCCCTGTTTAAAAATAGAAATAAATATTCCCCTTCGATTTCGTCGTAAATTATAGTTGTTAATAATTTACATACGGTTACCCTTATCCGGATACGAGTGGAAGTACATCGTATAGGGAGTTAGAAAAACGCACAAAAATTATGGAAATTAGGACACTTGTAGACGAAGCATTCGGTCAAAACGACATCACTGGAGTAAGGGCAGTGAACCGCTGAGTCTAAAATTACCAACTCCCTGGTCGGTGAACACGCCTACGCTAAAGATTTAATTGGCTCTCCCAACCAAACAATTGCCGACCGTAACACTCGTTCGGAAATCACCGATATAACGTTTGCTTACGCGGTTAAGTTAATAGAACGCCACTACGTTTTGGAAATACCGAACGCAGAGTCAGTATAGACGATATAAGAAATGGCAACACATAATAAGCAAAGGGTTCACTAAACGTGGGAACGTTTGAATCTCGTTCTGGAAAGGTTGTACATGAATGGCACAGTTGAGATTTAATGCTCATGTGATGTGTAACATTCAAATGGCTTTGTTAACATTCCTCCAACCTCTGGCGTGGGAAGAAAGCAAAGTAAATCGGTTCGTCTGTTTTGAAATCATACCTTGCACGTGGCGATATAAAACCATTTGCATCATTTTCTTTAATCCTTCTTTTGCTGAAATTTCTTCCTAATAGATCAAGATGTCCGACGAAAGCGAGAATAAAGCGAAGAATTACAATTTCATAGTGTATAAGGGAACGATCGAATATAATTTCGAGAACAGTTCTAGTACTGATCTCAAATCAGCTTCTCAGCATAGCCACCTGGTCGGTGGCACACGCTTCTCGAAGATGGAAGCCATCGTTGAACGTCCTTGGGCTGCCGCCGCCCCTGAATGGAGAAAAGCAACCCATGGTCTAAACCTTGAAGGTAAGTAGTAATTATTACTACGTGCATAGTCGTTTTCGTATTTTTACATTACACAGTAATTCAAAAAGCGGACATTTATTTTGCACAAAATAATAATCTGTCTTAGTGTAAAACTATTAACTATTGTTTCTCAATAGGGTGCTGCCAAAACCACTCTTGCAAAGCCTACAACAAAGGTAGGGTTATTGACAAGTGGGGATACCGTCGAGACGGAAATGTCGAAGATGGAACTTTCGACTTTTTCAGAGATGAGCATCTCTGTAAGTGTCCAATGTGTGATAACCACTTCGTGCCTGAAATCTGCGGCTTTTCCAACACTTGGTGGAAATTCAAAGGTTGCTTCAAAAAAAAAGTTGGCGCTTCCTCAGATAAGGCTGATTCCTTCTGGAAATACGCTAGCGACGACGTTTACACCACTTTTAAGGATAATGCCGAAGATTTTGCCCAATGGGGAAAGCTCAAGATTATGGTGTCTCGAAAAGAGCCTGACAAAACACATGAGAAGAAAGTTAATACGATGTTTGCGGATCTGTGCAATATTAAGCTGCAAGCTTTACGTAAAATCATCAAAACCGTTTGAAAATAGTGTTTCACATACTTTGTCCAGATATTTTAATACATCGAGTTTGTATGAAATAGTAACAGATGCACCACCGAAATTCTCACTTTCGAAAATAGGCCCCCAACAACAACAGTATCAACTAATGGTATTGATGCGGAATACCCAAAACTGCCAACTGCGTGTTATGAATGGTAGGAGACATTAAATATTTCGATTGGGATGCCAAACAAGTAATAATTACGCTTTGGGAGTACTCCAAGCAAGTGCCGAGCATTATATATTTGGTGAACGGATAACTGACCGGGTGCTATGAGTGACCGGAGTGAGCATGTTGTTTAATATTTTCGACAATTGTCCATTTGCCTTCATTGTTTATGGCGATTATAGGTCTACTCGCTTGGGAATGATGCAACAAAATCGTATAGAGCAAAGTTATCGTTCAGTTCATTCGCGATACCAATAATTTGATTTCATTTCCGCAGTCGCTTGCCGACTTGTATACCTCTTTAACTTCTATCTTGGTATGTTCCTTGATCGAATAAGCTCGTTAACAACATCGCGTAATGATCCGATTTCAACGCCGACGTACCCACATCCGCATTTCATTGCATGATAAAGAAGTTTAAACATTTCGTGTTCTTTAGTATCAGGACGACCGCGTACACCTCTGTATTACGATAACAGCCTTTTGGAATTTTATAAACGTTGTCTTTCAATCGCCGTCATCATGGCAATAGTCATATCTATATACTGCACAAAGAGACATATTGACACGTCCACCCGGGATGAAGGAGTGATTGTGAGCAGTAAACATCCTTCGTCTCGATATATTTGAAATCACACCCATTCTCTCTTAACGCATTTACAAGTGATCCGACAGGTCTTTGCTTCATTCCATCGTTGCCAGTTAGAATAGTGTGTTTGTCATTTGAGTTAATTTGATTGGCTGTACTAGAGTGTCAAGTAGTGGTAAGATGCAGTTCCGGCATCTCGATGTTTGGAACTTGTATTATCCCACCATCACTGTCTCACCATCATTTTCCCATTCAAACTTGGCACCGCCTAGTTATTGTAACGCATTCAACGTTATCTGGGTATCGTCAGAATGTAACAGGCCTCTGAGTCGACAACTACAGTCTCAAGAGCCAACACTAATGCGCGATTGGAAATGGATTTCGATTTGGGAGCAACCAGAGTAATTGGGCGAGCGGATGGTTCATGGACGGGTTTTACGTCATGGTCGGCGATGACATCGTTCGGATTACTTCATCGAGACTACAGTTGCCTTTTTTTCCGACGTTCCCTATCCCGTCAATATGACAATCTTCTCTTTATCTCCTTGGTCTTCGCTTCGTTATGTTCAATAGCTTATCCACAGTGCAATGCTTTAATCTACCAAATTTTTATCATCCAATGAAACCGGTAATCAACTCACCCTGTGTGACTGCATCTTACATTAGTCATGTGACCTGTATTATTATAATTCCGTTATATAGATAAAAAATTCATACCCCTGCAAGTCACTAACGCCTACATTGTTTGGTTTGCTAACAGCCGAACGATCAATCGTAAGATTAAACTTCCCATTAAAACAATTGCTATATCGCTATGCTTCACTTTCAGATGTCGCCTAGCATATTCACAAATTTCACGTTTATTTTCTATACTAATACTCAGTCGAGGTCGTGTTTTAGATAAATGCTTTGACATTATTTTTATTTTCGACTTGCAGCGATATTTAATCAATAAAATACAACAATTTTATATTGTACTAATAATGCGAATGATAATGTTATACTCAAATATTTATTATTACAAAGCATGATACAATTAATAACACGTTGCATTTAGAAATTACTTGAATGTAACATAATAACAAGTATTTTGGTGACTACAAAAGGGGAGTTTTTCATATTGTGCAATAGTAACGGGGATTCAAAATCGGTAACTGTGACTATAATATAATTGTGACTGTAAAGGAGGCAAATCACTATTACTATGGAAAATGACTGGGACCGGAACAGCCTGTGACTGTATAGGAGGTGTAACTATATAGGAGGTGACTGTAAGGAGGTTAACTGTACAACTCTTGCATTAGATCTTACCTTTTTTATCATGGGTAGTGTGTAGGTATTTATACTTCAAAAGTTTTTTATATTTTACTGTTAATAAACGAGCGCTAGGGAACGTTGTCGTTATTGGTTTATATCTGCTGGTTGTCGGCCTGTCGGGTAACTTTAAATTCCTGTTCTGTCAATAATGGAATATTATGGACTGTACGACGTGTCAGGTTAATTCACGATAATAGCTTTAACCCCCACCAGTAAATTGTGTAGTAGAAAAGTTCATTTGAACAAATGAAACAAACGTTCAAAAGCTCAGTTTGATAGTGCTTTCCGGCAAGTGTATAATTTTTTGCCCTCGTTAGCTGGCCTTGCTCTCTCCGTAAAATCATTTCTTGTTAATTCTATTTAATAGTACAATACATGATTATGATTGTAAATAGTCATGTAATTTAGTCGTATTTGCACATAGTCGCGGCAGCTTTCCAAATATAACAATGTACTGTATAGTATATTTGCTTTCTCTGCTTATTTTCTTGCGGCAAGATTATCATATCGATGCATTTTTTATTCAACTCAGTGATTGAACTGCTTTATTATTTTTGCGTTATTACCGAAAAGTCCCCCCCGTTTAGTCAAGTAGAACACTAATCAGCATATTGTACGATATCAAGGGTAAAATTTAGAGATATTGTTTCCGAAGTCGATGTTTAACTGAAACAAACTTTGCGTTCTAAATTTGTTGATAAACACGAATATTATGGTTTATTTGTAGCAGAATGTTTGCAATATTATAGCGTTTGCGACTATCCCGAAGATAAACATCTTTGACAGCTTATTTACTTTGTGTAATATTATTGCTTTCGACTTATATGAAATAGATTTAAAATTTTCGAATAAATATATTGATCATAATCTGATGTCAGAAAATTTAATAACACTGGAATTTAAATGACTTACTCTTCACAACGTATTGCACTTTTGTCTTATACCTGAAACTCAATTGACATCACATAACTATTTCTTGGTTTAGGCAAATCTCCAGTAGGTAAGAGTTTACTAGAGTATTTACTCTCCTTTTCGAAACGGAATAAGGGTATTACATCACTATGATAAACGGTATTCCACGCATTGTCATTAGAATTATCCTCGCCAATTTCTTTAATAAGATCGACAATATCACCATAAAGTGCCCGTCCGGCAAATATTTTACTCCGCATCAATTGATTCTTAATTCATTTATTTTCCTTAAATATAAATAACCTATGTACACCACAAATTCCCTAATAAACTATATAAAGAGAAACATTCATGGTAAAAATCAACCTTATTCCGTCATTGTGTTAAACCGATAATTTTAATAACTACATTATTATTTTAGGCAGGAGGCAATTACAACATCGGCAACCATTTCGCAGACATGATGTTTCACCGACAAGGTCATTTCACCCGACAAGGTTATTTTTCACCAACAATCATTTCACCGACAATTAAACGTTAGCATTATTTCGAAATAATGCTTTTCTGGTATGACTTTTGGTGAAATGATTGTCGGCGACCATGAACGGACCGTTTTAGTAATGGCAATACGAAGGGTTTTACCGTGTGTTACTATTTGATATCCGAATTGTCACACGGACAACCGATGAGTGTGGGTTACCCAAGTGACGATGAGATTGGTTTCAATTTTGGATATTACAAAATATTATTTAGGAAATTATTTTTCTTATAAAAATGATGCATGTCGGACTGTATTAACTGAAAAAAACTTACCAATTGACTGATTAGCAACTACAAAAACTATGAAACACCCAATTTTTGCTCTGTTCTTTGCGTTGGTTATAATTAATAATGCCATTCCGCATGGATTAAGTAAACGATCTACCGAATTTTATCCATGTAGTTTGGATGGTCCTCAAACACTACCTCTCAACGTAACCATGTCACCTGACCCCATGGTTTCTGGCCAAGATACCACTTTCATCATTTCCGGAACTGCGAAAACTGACACTACCATCAAAGCTAGTGTTGCAATATATATTTATACCAACACTAGCTCTGTTGGATCTTACGAAGACCGCTTATGTAACGTCAATAAATCATGTCCCATGAAAGACGCTGCGTTTAAATTCCCATACACAATTAAGCCGGAAAGTTTGCCTGCAGATTATTACATCGCTGCGTGGATACAAACAAAGATCTACCAATATTGCGCTAAGACGCACCAGCTATCATCAAAGTAATCGACGAAGCACTCCACTCGTGTATCGAGCTTATCGAATATTATAATTATTTTTTCCATTAGCTTGCTTTGTTTTGTTCAACTTTTTTTTTCTTCCTGCATACACACGCACATTTAGCAGTATTTACGTAAATTTTAATCACACTTTAACTTAAAGTTTCTGAAAAATGGCATAAGCAAAATTGGAGTGTGTTCTAGTTAACATACGAGTTCGAAAAATTTTTTCAACTGTTCTTATACTGTATCTTGCCTAATTCTTGTTTTACACCTAATTTAATATCGTGGGCATTAATATTAACATATTTGTGCACTAGAAATAAACTGAGGCAGACAGGATAGTTTGGGCAAATTTAAAGTTTTTACAAAGTGAATTTAACAATTTATAGCTTTTTTTTATTCAGTCAATAAGTTTGTAATAGATACAATGCAAATAAAAAAGGATTGCAAAACTAAATTGGACAAAAATGGCAATTCAGTAAATTGTCTTCAAAGTTGAGATTTGGAAATACAGTCGGTTAATTTGGCGAACTCGAATGTATTACAAAATGTTTATATATATATTACACCGTCTATTTAGCATCTTTTTTCATTCATTCATTTATTTATTTTCATCTTTTTGAGTCCCACTTTCATTTTTTAAAATTGACGTGGTTAGATAAACTACAACATTTGAGGGATATTGCATATTATTTGTATAGTATTCATTATGCGGGTTTAGTGCATTGTGGTCTTCATGGTAGAAACATTGTTGTGCATGACAATACGCGTAATGAGATGTTGTGTGTCAGACCGGATATTAAAAACTATCAGGTAAAAACCTTATAAATATTTATTGACATTACAATATCAACTCTACATGCGTATAAACAACTGGATTGTTGTAAATTGTACTTTTTGATACCGGTAAGTTTTGGCATCAAAAATAATAAACTATATAAGCGCAAGTAACTTGTGATATTACTATCATTACGTTTTCCATTATATTGACATAAATCTTACCCCACGATAAATAATATACACATAACAAACTACTGCCTATCGATTTGTTGATATGCTTTGGCTGTCATGTGTAACAATGTAAGCTTCTCTGATCCCAAAACCCATTCACATACGTAAAACATTGAAAGTTCAGAATGTTTATTTCGAATACATTGCATGTATTACTGCATCCTATAACACATGTAATCGAAAATAACGTTTATTCTCACAAAAAACCGCACAACTTAGGCCATTGTCGAAGATTAAAAAGATACCGTGAATTTGTAAAATACTCACAGTATAGTATTTGACTAATTTTAAATATTGATTTGTAAGCCTGTTTATCGCTTAATCAAACCCTCTATAGGGATGGTAGTAGCACCACTAAATCGAAATTGCCTCAAACTATATTTTCTTTTGTAATTATCCGGGCGAAAATTCCACCCTCAAACAATTACGTTATGCATGAAAAGGCTCAAACAATTACGCCATAACCATAAGTCATCCTCAAAATCGGGTCGAACTCTTTCCCACAATTTTCTGACGCATGATTGGTTAATCAGATTGACAAAATCAGAGTCGAGTTCATTGATTAAATGCAGTCAATTCTTGAAGTTTACCAATGACACACTTTATTAAAACATCTGTTACTTTACATTGTTTGTATTATTCAAGCATGATGATGCTCTTGGCAACTGACTGTATGCTGAATTGAATTTGTGTCAGCTGCGATAATTTTGATCTAAATAAAAAAAGTTGACAATAAGCATGCGTCAAAAAATTAACATTATCAATGATATAATATAATACGTACTGTGATTTTGCGCTCAACAGGCACTCGGTAACTATCGGTGCAAGAACTTCTTATTTCCTTTGCAATTGTTTTGTTCTCACACGTCGGTTGGAATAATATGAACTAATTATTGTGATAAATAAATGATATAATACAGTCTCTAACGTTCGAACGAAATACTGCGCTTGAATATTGGACGTTGAACCCACCCACACAATTTATGCTTATAGAACGCGATCTTGTCTGTTAAGTGGATTTAATCATACAATTATTTGCTTGAAATCATCCGATATCGTAGCAGTTTACGGTTAGAGAGTGATATAGTCGTCTTTGTTAATGACTTGGCCTAATCGTACGATAAATCATTGGTACAAATTTTGACATTGTGGTAGAATGTTATCTTTGATGTTTGCATTTGAAAGTTTGCATTTTAATGTTTAAACAGTAAATAGACTATTTATTGATCTAAACCCACAGTGATTTGACGTCGAAATAATTGGTACGAAATCTTTGCATTGGGTTAGACCGTAATTATAGATATTTTGATCTAACTGTACAGCGATTTGCCATTACGGTTAGACCGTAAAGTATTAACCATTTTTTATCTAACCCGTACAGTGATTTGCATCACGAGTTAGATCGGAAACATAAACTATTTTTTATCTAATCACAAAATAATTTCCATTGGAAGTTGGTATGGATTTTTAACATTACGGATATATAGATTTAACTGCACAGTGATTGACATCGAAATAATTGGTGTAATTTGAGCATTATGTTAGACTGTAAATATAACCGATTTTTTGACTTACGCACAATGTTTTGTATCAAAATAATTGGCTATACTTTAGACTGTATTTAATCTCGAGCTGCATCGAGATAATCTTTAGCAGACTGTAAACGTAGACCTTTTATCTAACCGTATCGAAATAATTTGTACAAGCGTACTGTTTTTTAATTTGGCCGTGCGATGATGAAATTGCACATAATATTTGTTTGACGAATACGATAATTAATAATACGATAGAAATGTTTCGATCTTGATATTATTTTCAGATCGCCCCAATTCAGATATCTTACGGTTGAAAGACCAAAGTGGCTTAATTTTTTTGAGAAAAAAAAAAAAAACACTCGCCGCTTATTCTGGTTAAAAAATTAAAAAATGATTCGGTACAGTTACAATTTATAAATATATTATCGCACATTACAATTATTTATTATCGTTATTACCCAACGTGTTTACGTGATGGCTGGTAATATAAGTTCCATTTGTCTGATGTTGTTCTAATGATATTTTTTAGTCAATTATTGGAGTCTACTGATCAATATTTTATTAAAGTCTAGGTAGCTGACCTTCGGTAAAGATTGTCGGCAACCATGGACCGTTTAGGCAATGGCGATGCGAAGGGTGTTATCATGTGTTACTATTTGGTATCCGAATTGTTACACGGGTAATATTTGATCATCGATGAGTAAGGGTTACCAAAGTGACCATGGGGTTACAAATAATAGTAATCTGCATAATTTGATTTCAACTTTGAATATTACAAAATCTTATTTAGGAAACTATTTTTCTTATAAAATGATGGCACTCATAGCATGTCGGGCTGTATTAACTGAAAAAAACTTACCAATTGACTGATTAACAACTACAAAAACTATGAAACATCCAATTTTTGCTCTGTTTTTTGCATTGGTTATAATTAATGCCATTCCGCATGGATTAAGTAAACGGTCTACCCGATTTCATCAATGTACTTATGGCCGCGTACCACCTCTCAACGTATCCCTATCACCCGATCCCATTGTTTCTGGCCAAGATGTCACTTTTAACATTTCCGGAACCGCGACAACTGACATTACCAAAGCTACTATTGGAATAACTATTTCAAACTCTGTTGACTTTTACGAGCGATACGAAGGCAACTTATGTAACGTCTATAAATCATGTCCCATCAAGAAAGACGCTGAGTTTAATTTCCCGTTCACAATTAAGCCGAAAAAATTGCCTGCGACGACTTATTTTATCAATGTGTGGATATCCAAACATATCACCAACTTCCATTGCGCCACTGCCCAGATCCGCCGCCGCCATAAAAGTAATTAACGAAACACTCTACTCGTGTATTGAGCTTATCGAATATTATAATTATTTTTTTTATTAGTGTAGCTTCGTTTCGTTTAACTTTTTTTCTTCCTGCATCGCACGTTTAGCAGTATTTACGTAAATTTTAATTAATATTTTAATTTTATTTTTCTGAGATCCACTTTTATTTTAAAACTAAAGTGGTTGGACAAACTACAATATTTGAGAAATATTGCATATTATTTGTATAGCATTCATTATGCAGGTTTAATGCATTGTGTTCTTCATGGTGGAAACATTGTTGTGCATAAAAATACGCGTGATGAGATGTTGTATGTCAGATCGGAATATTAAAAACTATCAGGTAAAAACTTTATAAAAGTATTTATCGACATGATGATATCAACTCTACATGCGTATAACAACTGGATTGCTGTAAATTATGCTATTTTAATACCGGTAAGTTTTGGCATAAAAAATAATAAATTATATAAGCGCAAGTAACTTGTGATATTACTACTGTTATATGTCGATTTGAAATTTATGTCTATTCGCAGACCATCAACTCTTCCTCAAATTTCTCCGACAATCCTGTAATTGTTGTATGTCGGTTT